ACCATATCACGGCGTTTCTTGAGCACCCATTAGATCAGTGACTCACTGAAACGAGACAGTCTCTGGATCTGTTAATTTTCTGGGCTGCCAGCTGGAACAAGTAATAGGTGGGGTCAACAAAAAGAAGGAGGCAGTTAAAGATGGGGGTGGGAGGGGGGGCACAGAGCAGTGCAAATATATATTTGAGCCAAGAGTGAATGTCCCAGGTATTCCAGCTACTGTCATGTCTGAGTCCCTGCAGCCACCGTGACACTGGTGGGTTCATGTGCTCACCATCTGGGTGACTGGGCTTTCAAAGCACAGCCAAAAACAAAGAGAAGGAACAAAGGAAGCAGCGATTCGATGAAGTCTGACCGGAGAGACAGGAAAAACAGAACGACTGTTTGAACTGAAGACTCTTTGGATTGGACTGAACTTTTCCAAACATGAAAAAAATGGCAGGAGTTTGGGCAGTGAATAAGAGAAATGGTGCAGAGCGAGATGAAACACTGCCCTACTGTCACTGCGCTGCCCTACACATGACCCCTGCTAATTTGACTGCTAAGTCTATTTGTACACGTTGTTTTCTGTGAAATAGTAAAGTTATCCTTCAACCAGAACGAGATACAGAAGACATTGCCAAGGGTTTGCACGTCTCTGAGGGCGGCCGGGATCCTGCCAATGCTTTATTTCGAACATTTCTTGAGGTTTTTTAGTGTTTTTGTGTTTATTGGGAACAAGTCTTATGTTTTCGGGATTGCGGTGGGTCTCACTGTGTGTGTTTGTGAACTGTATGTTAACACCGCATTGCAGGAAATAGTCTTACACAGCATGTGTATGTGTACGTTTGCACGTCCATGGGGCAGCACATACGGAACGTCGTGTTGATTAATGTTAGCAAACCTGCCTTTTGACCGTTTGCCTGTTCATGTGCTTGGTGTTAGTGCAGAGAACGGCTGCTAAGCCTGCAGTATGTGTGAGATCAGTGTGGCCTTTCAGAACAAAACCTCCTGCTCAGAGTATTTCAACATGTCCAGACCCTGCTCATAAAGTTTGCTACAAACATCTACTCAACCCCTCCCTGGCTCTCACGGCCAGCCTAATGTGTGTTATTCCTCGTTTTGCGTTGTAATAGACTCAGAGGTAAGAAAACAGTGTGTAAAACAATAAACACAATAAAAAAAACTCTTTTTAAAGAGGACACAGCAGACATTCATATCAATTTTAGCATAAAAAGCTGAAAAAAAGAGGAAAAATAACCTTGTCACTTGTGTGAGTATCCAATTGAAGTATAAAAGGATGTCACTGCTCAAAGGTCCTGAGGAAAGTCAGGCTGATTTCATGTCATGAGTACGAACCACAAAGCTGTGTGGGTGAAAATCAATGTGTCAATAGAAGGATAAAACTGTTTTTATATTTGACAAGTATTTCTAATGGGACTCTGTCTATGTTTGTGCCAGGGCATGTGTGTAAATGAATGTGCGGGGCATGTGTAGGTTCGTAGAGTTGTCTGAACCCTCTGAGCCATCTGAACCAGATGGAAAGATAAAGGACTCATTTTAAATCTATTTTTTAGATTTATGGCATTGCCTGTACTTTTCTGATATTGACTTTTATATGTAAATGGTTCTGATTTTATTGGGCATTTTCTGTTCACATAAATTCTTCTTAATTTGTTGAGCAACAGCTACTGCAGGGAGAATAAGGAAGATATGTCTGAGATTTATGACACTGCTGCAAAACAAACACAACACTTCAATGCTTCAATTTAAAATCATCTCTGTTAATCCACTAGAAATATTACAGAAGTGACGGCGCTCTAACATTTCAAACGGACAGTTAGTGTCTTCAAAGAGCACATCTAACCTGATGCACGATCAGGCTGTGGCTGTGACTGAATACCTCAGCACATGTTCAATCTTGTAAATAATCTCGATGACGGGTGTGAGGGCGGAGAAAGCTGCATTAATCTCGATTATCCAACAATTTGCTGTTTACACTGACAGCTGTAGCACCGTCCCTGGGCCGTCGCCAGGTAAACAATTTGCTGTTTACACTGACAGCTGCACCGTCCCTGGGCCGTCGCCAGGTTCCGCCCACATCCACAGAGCGACACAGAGTCATATGAGAACAACTTTACTTCACTTCCGCTCACAGACTTTACTCCTAATTCCTCTTTACATTTCATTTCTGCAGATGACAGTAAATAATTTATGTCACATTTTTTGCTGTTGTTGTTCGTCAGAATGCATTCGCTTTGTGTTGTTGACGTCCCTCGGTGTCGTCAGTGAATTCTCCTCAAAGTGGTTCTTGACCTTTGCGTACTGATGAGTGTCTGTGAGACGGTGCAGCCGCCTTTTGATAGATAACGCCTTAATCAGTGAAAGTTTGCATCTCTGTGTGGTATTCTGAAAATGTTCTGTGAAGTTCATTCTGCCAATCGGGATTTTTTTACATCTTAACAGAGAGCTGATTTTATTAGTTTCAAAGATGAACTCTTTATTTTTTTCTTTTTTTTTTTCTTTTGGTACATTTTTTATGGTTTATGTTCTGTTCTGCTGAATTTGAAGGTTTCACAAAATGTCCTGTGCAAGAAGCTGATGTAATCATCCTAACTGTGGAGATAAGTTATCCGGGCACAAGAAGTCAAGGCCTGAGAACATTGTGTAGTACTTCTGTTTCAGCCCCATTTCTTACACACATCTATTATCTATAAAAGAATATCTTGTTGCAAACAGCAAGCAGAATACATGCTATTTGTGTATTCATATGTTTAATATATAAATCTAATATTTTTCAGTCTGAATAAGACTGGAACTCTCTTCAATCTTCACACTTTTGGAAACGAGTTGCGGGGCAGATTGGACAGTTCAGCTGGCCAAAATCAGCCCACAGACCGCCAGTTAGTGATCACTGATCTCTTCAGTAGGCTAATAACATTGGAAATATTTGTTAAATGTCAAGATAAGTCTATTAAAAATAGATTTTTTTTTTTGGACTTTGGTCTTATAAATTAATCTCCAAACTACAACATTTTGTTGTATTTGCATTCATAAAAAATGTTCTGTCTGTCTGGAAACTGACTTTGTAGACTTCAGATGCTTGTACTTCTATGTTGTTTTTTTTTTTTTTTTTTCTGTAGTACTTCAGTATTAATCCCTAAACGGAAATTACTCTGTGCTTTCAACCCATCAGTGAAACATCCCAGTGATTAACTCTGGACACTCAGGAGCCGTGGGCTGCTCCTTTTTAATGCACCAAGAGAGTGAGGGGGAGTTTGGGTGCTTGCTCAACACACCACAGCCCTGGCGTGGTTAGATTTTGAACCAGCAATCCCCCAATTACAAACCGGTTTCTTTAACCGCTGGACCACAAGGTGATTTTTTGAATTTGAATTTGAAATTTTTGAAAACCGCTGTAAATAAACCTCCAAGATAAGGTGACACTGCCTGTGGTTAAATGAGGACACATACATTGTTTGAACAAGATGCATGTAAAAAAAAAAAAGTCCCACATGAGTGTTATTTTCAGCCAGACCTTGACGTCCTATAATCTGCTCTACCTGAGGTCACCGCAATGGACAACACTCTCTTTTAGCTTCTGTTTAACTAAATACTCTTTAGAAGTTATTAAAATGAATGCTCCTGTCTGGCTCTGTAGACCAACATCAACATTTCAATATTTCAAATGTACATTTTTTCTGCTTGGTGCATTTTCCTGTAAAAAGACGGATGTGTTTTTGCCTTAAGGGCTGTGAGAACATGTAAAGAACTTTCAGTTCATGAAAGGTCAGTGTGGGGTTGCACAAGGAGTGGATGTCACTGCTGCAACACTATGTGCTCCAGGCAGATGGAAGGTCAGAGGAGACAAAGCTGCTTTTACTGGAGTCAGTCAATCGAGCATTCATGGAGGAATGATTCGGTTTGGTAGAAAACAGCCGGCTGTGACTCCCATAGTCATGTGTGTGATTTTAAATGTTTACCAAACCTAAATGTTTAAGTGGTAAAAAAAAAAAAGCAAATGTCCCTTTATGGCAACACAGATGAGACATTGACATTGACATTCTATGCTGAATGTTTCAGTTTAATTCACCTGGACATTGGACAACTAGTGTACCTTTTTTTTTTTTTTTTTTTTTTTTTCATTAAATCAGTCCGTTGCCCTTGGCTGGAAGCTTATCGTCACATCAGAGGTCTAATCCAGATCAGTGCAGAAATTTGCCGCTGTAATTAGATAGATATCAGGAAACTCTCTTGGACATCCTGCTGTGTCATTTGTCACGTCCCTTACGCAATATCAAACATACGAAGACGTTCCAGGCCAGTAGAACCGCCAGACTCACCCTGACACTTCCCTTTTATTGCCATCCCATCTGATGAGCTCATTTCCACGCCAGCACTGTCATCCCGAGCCAAGCCTGAACACAGACATGCACACTCTCCCTTAAAACACGGGCTCCCACTTTGAACCACTGCTTTAGAGAGTTGTTTGATGCTTGAATTAATCATTTATGTCAGAGGGTGGAGATTTAAAACCCAAAAGCTATCGATTGTTTCCATCCCGACAAAGGAAGATTCAGGGCTGCCGGCAATTAAGACTTCAGCTGCTATCAAAGCAGGCAGTGGTTAGAGAGTGTGTGGGGGTGCATATGCACCAGACCATTTGGAGAGAGTATGAAAGCCAAGCTATCGAGACAGTAAAATTAGGGGGAGATGCAGCAGTTTGTCACTGAACTATAGGACGTTTGTCAGCACTATTGGCCTAATCTGTAAAACTCCACGGAATATATATATATATATATATATATATATATATATATATATACACATATATATATATATGTTAATTGTATATATGTATGGATACATCTATAAATCAAGCACACCATTAGAGATGAGAGCCTCCCTGACAATGCAGCTCAGTTTCATGCCTCATCCCAACAGTGAGCCAGACATTAAAGAGTCCAGATCACCACATGTCCCTCTGGGTGATTGACTCTTCTTCTTTGCTTTTGATTCCAGCTATTCTGGCAAAACTGTAGGAAACGGTCTGCACGCCCAGAGGCAAAATCCCGAGGTCAAAGTTCGAGGTGTGGACCCTACGCTGGCTGAAGTCAAAGCGCGGTTGGATTCAACCAGGTAAGATGACACCAGGGCATCAAAGAACACATCAGGTTGTTAGGCACTAAGAACTTTGGAACATTACTTAGTAAATATTTCAGAAAAACAGTTTGGAGTAATCAGTACATTTCAGTCAATGTCACTGCTACTCAGGAATTACTCAGAAGTCACAGTTATCAAAGCATGTGACAAAAAGTTAATTTCCCGTGCAAAAAAAAAAAAAAGCATGTGTGTCAGGATCAAAAGGTCAGAAATGAGTGACAGATAGCCCGTGATGACACAAGCAGCTTCAAAGTGACGCTGTTTGTCATGTAGATGGGGTCTAAGGCTTAAAAAGACCAAGAATAAAAGGGCCATTTCAAAAAGTCCCTAAAGGCCATTTAATGAGACAAACGGAGCAGGATTTGGTTTCCCGCTGCCTGCCTTCCCTTTTGTTGCCCTGAAAATTATGCCTGCAGATAGTTCACCAGCCATCACTCACACTCAATCTTTGAATCTTCCTTTCTTTCCACAGTGCTCACCCTTTCTGCACCTGTTTGATTTCTGATGCGTCTCTCCAAAGGACTTTCTCTCGTCTCCCCTCTCCTCCCTCTGTCTCTCTTATCCACTCAATATAAGTTTCATTCTTTATCTCCAAACTTTCTCCAGGCGAAAATCTTTCATTTCTTGGTTCTTTCGCCTCATGCATTTCTCCCCTTAAGTAAAATCTCACCTGTGTTTCTTCAGCCTTGTCTTCTGCTGTCAGCTAAGTGTCAGGTATCTTTGGACAACAACATCCACCTGTGCTTGGTGGCTGTCAAGCACCCTGTTGTCATGGTTACCAGACAGAGCACAGCCGATGCCTGTTGACGTTTCCGTGGGTGTTGAAACCCCCGACCTTCATTCCAGACCAGGTGGCAGAGGGCAACTAAGCCTTGGGGCTGTGGCTGATAAGAAGAAGGAAGGACACACAGTGTTAATCTAGTCTAAATTAGCTTCCTGTTGGAGGTACATCCAGGATAGTCAACTCACAGGAGCTAAGAAAACACATTATATCACTACTGTAAACACCTGGTTTAACTTGTCAACTAAAATATATGCCTATTTCTTCTGACATTAAACATCAGCTGCAGCAAAAAGCCTGCGTTAACTCTCCTCCAGTAAATTAGTTTGGATTAATTTAATCACTTTTGACAATTATGTCTGACGGCTGCCACGCCCTTGATACTAACTGACTTTCAGAATGATACGCTCTGCCAGCAACCATAACCATTGGACGGTCTCTAAAGCAGTTTTCTCCGCTGTATAATGGACCCACAGAACACACCCAGCGTCTTGTTTGATGAAAATCATTTTTGATTTAATTTTAGTGTTTAGGAAAATCCCTTCCATAGGGTTCCATTTATATGAATTTACATTTGAAAACAACAAATGACTTCAGGTCTCCTTCTGGGACCTTCTCCTGATCATTTGGTTTTTCCAAATGTCCACTTTATGACAGTTACAAGTTAGACGTTAATATAATTCCTCCTTTAGTGTCTTGATAATCTCAACTTGCTATATTAAAAGATTACTCCAGGATTAGCCAAACAAAATTTTTCATTTTTATTTTTGTTACATGTTCAGTAAGAAAACCAGTCCTGAACAGTGTTAAACTGTCATTCTAGTATAAAAGAAACACAAAAATGCAAACCCCAAACCAATTTATTGTTTTTTTCTCTCTCTCTCTCTTCAGTCTCTGAACAGATAGGTTTGTCACTCGTCCTCGGTTCCGTTCGTCGCCACTTCAGAGCCTTCAGCAAATTTTTGTAGACAGGACCTTTGAGAATCCTCGGAGTGGAAAATTACTCCACAAAATATGGCTTTGTCTTTAAATAGATTTTTGCCAAGTCCATCACTGAATCACTTTCCAAATCACAAACCCACTACCAGATGCCCCTGTTGACTGTCTGACTGATTGTGAAGTTAATTCCAGTGTCAGTGAGAGAGTGTTGTTTAAGGATGTGACTCACATCCTTGTTTTAATAAACTTCGATTAGTTCATTGTGAGACCGACTTCACCACTTGATCCTTGCAGTTACAAAAAGCCTGATTAGAAACACTTAATTAATTTTTTCGGTGAAAGGACGCATGTGGTTCAGTTATAGTGAGATTAATCCTTGGTGAAGAGGTGTGAATGTGTAGCTGAAGTTGTCTGGCCACAAACGGTTGTCTTGCAGAAAAAAAATAATCGGGCATCCAGAGGTGACAGTATTTTCTGACACTGCTGGAGGTTAGAAATAGAAATGATGATTGGGGCCTGAGCATTGTGGTTAAATGTCATCAGCAAAACTCTGCATTTGTATCACAGACTAGATACATTCCGTAAGGCACACACACACGTTGTTGTGTCAGTTAACGTTGTAATGTTTTTAAAAAAATAGTGAAATACGTGTTCCAGTTACGTGACATTTGTAAAATCTGGAAATGACACACAATAAAATGCCCCATAAAAAGAGCAGAAGTCTGTATCTCTTCAGTGGATCTGCCTGTAAATATTGCGGATGTGGTCAATAAATGTTTCAAAGTAGATTTTTGATTCCCAGCCATCAGGACAGCTGTTTTTGGGTGTGGACCCTGTCACAAAGGCCCGTCTGTTTCCACATGACTCTGAGACCAGATCACTCCGTCACTACGCACATCAGCAAATGCAGTCAATGGCATCTTGCGCCACATGGTCTAAATATATGCGCGACAACATTAATAGTTGAATTGGACGTTATTTCACACATCAAAACACAGAGCATCATTAAAACTGTGGAAACTGGTGAATGCTGAATAACAGCAGAGTCCAGTACGTACAGAGGCCAGTTATATGTCTGATTGATGAGACTCACCACTGTGCTGCTGTCTAGTTTGGCCCTTGGCCCAGCAAGGTTCCACATCTGAGAAATCTTAGTGCTGTTTACACACACTCAGCAGTTCCCCACTGTGGATCCTGTGGATCTTTAAGCCACTGCAGGGACTCACGGTTAGGGTTCAGAAAAAAAAACAAAAAACTAATAAGAACATATATTCTACCAGAAGATTCTATACATTTAGTCATGCAGTCAATACTGTGCTGTTTTAGATGATAAACAACTGTTTGAGCAAAAAGAACAGAGTAGGAAAATGTCAAAACATTAAAGCGTTGGAATCTAGAAATGAAGAAAAACTTCAGTTTGAGCTGGCAGTGTGTCACAGGGCGGGGACAGATTCTTTCCACTTGATGATGATGATGATGATGATGATGATGATGATGATGATGAAGCTCTTAGGAACTCTGCTGCTCCTTGCTGCTGCACTGCTGCTGTAGCAACGGTACAGCAACAAGTCCCTTTGCACCGGGCTCTCTGTTAGTTTGGCAGTTAAACTTCATGAACCCACACTCTGCTGCTCTGAGCATAACATTTTAAATTAGAAGAAAAGTTATTAAAAAAAGTTAGACTCTTTTTTTCCACAGTAGGTCACATTTACTGTCCTCAGAGGTATCAATTTGTAGGAGACATGGATGTTCAGAAACTGTGACCTGTACTTTTGGAGCACAGCTATGGAAATCTTTCTTCTTTTTTGGATTAGTGCTTAAACAAAGTAAAAAAAACAACTTGTTTTTAAGGTTAGCAGCAACAGCTTTTAAAGAAGGGACCAGAAAAAAAAGTGAAAATGATTAATAAGGTGCCCATGCAGTAAACAGAATGATCAGCTAAACGTAAACACACAATTGCGCGGTCAACTCATGTCATGCCAAACATGTGGTCAATGTGATTACCATGTAGGGAGAACACAGAGAACTCAGCGGTGGTTTACAAAACGCAGTTCTGACTCAGCAGCAGCAGAAACAGGGAAGGGTCTTTTTCTGAAAACATAACAAGCAACATGCAATCTGAAACTATCTTCCACTCGTGGACTCATGTTTATCAAAGTCGCATACTTAAAATCCAATCCACTTGTTGCGTCTGGGTGGCAGCGATGTGACGATAATCCATCGGGCTGTAGCTCAGTTCTGTTGACCTGACGTTTTTGGGTTTGGACTCAAAAGATAAACTGTGACTAAAATGTGTTTATCAAGATCCTCTCAGTGAGGAATTTCAATTTTGTTCTGTTAGGAATACTTCATAAACTAGACTTCCTGTCCAACGTTGATGGATTCCTAATCTGGTCTCATGATAACCATGAGCTTATTAAACAGTCATGGTGAGACTTGAAACAAATGTTCTACTGCTGGCCAATGAGAGCTGCTGATTACTCCGAACTGCCTCTGCTGAGTTAAACAGCACTCCCATTTGTGTGTGTGTGTGTGTGTGTGTGCGTGCATTTGTGTTGACTCTCCCAGAGTTCTCGTCAACAAGGTCTCTGTCAGAACATGCTCCCTGAAAATTGCTGATGTCACTGTCAAACATTTTTGAACAACATCTCCATCATCTGGTTGACAGAAACCAAAGTTCACTCACACACACCTACACACACACACCCAGAGTTAGTGCCTGACATGAGCAGGGTGTGACATCCCCATGCCAACGTTTTCTTTCTCCTGTGATTGACTCATGCGAGGGTTACCTGAGGTCATGTCCAAAAAATGTCACTAACGGTAAGCAGCAGGATCAACTTGTGCTAACTTGTTGTGCAGCGTTAAGAGGTATTTTCCCCCAAAAGTTCTAAACAAACCCAAGCATTCTTGGAAAAATTAACTTGAGTTGAAAACAATTTGCACTGTTTTCCAGATTTGCTGAGTTTGTGGAGGCAAAACTAAGTTGTCTTACTTGCACAATACACTGACAAGTGGCTATCTTGTTAGGAAATTTGACTTGGCATTGCTAATTAGCACCTAAACAAAATATACTTTTTGCTGCGATGGGAACCCCTTGTGATTATGAAGAGAAAATATTGTTAAAACTATAAACAATTTTGCTCATTCCTCCAGGTCAGTGATTGTGAGATTAGTTGCAGATGATGGAACCAAGGCATTTAATTAGGTTTAAATGAAACACAGAGCTCAACAGATGCAACCACCATTGGTCAGCAGTCATGCTGGAAATACAGGAACAAATGCATCTCTCCCAGAAATAATAATAATTGACTTGTTCAAAATGTCTTGGTTGACTGAACATGAATGTTTTTCTTACTTAAACTTCCAAACCGTTCCCTTAGCTTCTTCACTGGGATTTGGATTTGGAATAACAGAGACAAGCAGATAACATTCTTTTTGCTTGTGCAGTCCTCATATGTGATGACTCACCAGACAGAATGTCTACAACAGAATTAATTTATTAATTGATTTATCAAACAGGCTATAGCTTTACCAGGAAGCCTGGAGGTGGGCTGTGGAATTGACATGCATTATGAGAATTGTAGTTTATGGTAAATATACATAAAGGCGGACTTGAATTGGATTTAGAATTGGAATGAAAGAAGTAGGAATTGTGAATTATTCACCAAGTAAATGTTATAAATGCACACGAGGAAGGCCACATTCTGCCTGCCATCCTTAGGTTTGACATATGAGTGTAATAGCAGCAACTTTCATGTTGTTCCATTACAAAATGTCACCCATCAAGAGTGAATCATTAATTGCTTAGTTGACTGTACTGTTTTAAAAGCAGGTTAGTGACATTTTTATTTATTTTTATTTTGTATCTCTCACAGTAGAAGTTTAGTGATTAATTGTTGTTTTTTCCTCTTTTTGTGTCATCTTTGTCATGCATGAAGAATTGCTGCTGTTTTGTTTTTTGCCGTTGAATTCAAGGATATTATTTATACACATCCAGACACACAGACACAGACATTTTCAAGGACTGTGAGCTTTTATGATGAGTGAATGGAGAGACATTTCATTTTTAAAAATCCAAGGACTTCTGCAGACATCGTAGATCACTTTTTCCTGGAGTGTCTTCCAGCTTTTACTTCCCTTTCTCCCTTCCTATTTTGCTGTCTCTGCACAGAGCTTTACCACAATGAGGTGATACAGTTTCAAACAGTAGGGGGAAAAAAAGGAAGTACTCTGTGTTGATTTAGATCCCTGAAGATTTAGTTAATTTGACAGAATGTATTTGTATTTCACTTGTACACATAACACACTAACACGTGTGGTTCACATCCCATTTAAAAACCCACATTTCCTATTTAAACATTTTGAATGTAGCTTTTCTATTTCCACTTGAATCCAGGGCTTATTTCCCTGCAGTTCGGTTGCACACACACCCTTAAACTTCTTCAGAGGATGAGTTGTTGTTTTCAGTGCACGTAGAATGCACCCAAATATATCAAGTACAGTTAATGCGGGGACTCAACCCTTGATGCTCTCAAAGCAGCCTCGATATCATATAATTACAGAGCTGGCAGAGTGTAAGGAAGACTCGGAAAAATTTCATCATTTCAGATTTTACTTAAAGCCTTTCGGGGAATAAATGATTTCTCTTCAAATGCTGGAGGTTAACTTCAAGGTAATCCCCACCGTCTCAGCTCCACATCTGCAAAAAAAAAAACAAACAAAAAAAAAACTGCAGCCTGGCCATCTGTCTGATGACTGTGCAAGGAGTTACTGACTTTATTTTGTTATCAGGCACTCCTTTGCACATTTACTTTCTGTGTTTCGCTGATTTACTTTTGAACCAATTTAAGATTTAGTCTTCAACTAAAAACAACTTTGACAAAAATACATTAGTATTAAAGTATCACTGAATAGGCTGAGATGTCTTATGTTAATTGGAGATATTATTGTTTATTAAATATATAGGTAAATATATTTGATAATGTATATGGCTATGTACTTGGGTATGTTTATATATACCAATAAATGTGTATATAAATATATCCATCCATCCATCCATCCATTTTCATCCGCTTATCCGTTGCGGGGTCGCGGGGGTAGCAGTCGCCACCCAAATCACACTGCACCGTACCAACCCCCCAAACCTTCCTGTGGGTGGTGAGTCCACTGGAAGGTTATATATATATATATATATATATATATATACATATATACACATACACACACACAAACATACTCTATATACAGTAAACTTCAATAACTGTGAAATTAAGTGAAATGAATCAGGTGACTTGTAATGCATATGCATGGTCTTAAGTGTTATACATTTAGTACTGAAAAAGTACTGAACGTATAGTAAGAGCCTCAGTGTTTTTTCATATTAAATATATTTATCATCATATATCCTGTGTATAAAATTGAAGCTTTGGAAAAGTGCACATAATCTGGTTTAAAAGCCATTTTCACAAACTGAAAGCAGCTTTTCCTTTGTTATTATACAGCAGGTAGAGAGAGAAAGAGAGAGAAATTTTGAACAGCTCATAATACACACAAGCCTTTTGAATAACTCATATTGAGAAATTACACATCTCTTGTATTAGCTCCAAGGACAAATTAGAAATTAGCTTTTGCAGTGTGTTGGTGGAAAAAAACCCTGCAGTTAATTTCCCTGTATGGTGCCTCTGCAACAGCCACAGTGGAGCTTTGGCAGTTTTGCATTCCTGACTCTGTCACAACAAACCAACAAACTGCATTGGACTGCATCCAAGCAACAATTATACAACGACCCGGCTGTGGTTTCTACAGCAACGGTGCCTTAATTGATTCTCTGTCTAATTTACATGCTTTAAGGACAGCTGGGCCCAGTGCCATTGTCTTCAACATCCCACCAATGCCAGGGTTATTAGCTCCATACTCGAGTGGTTATCTGGACGCTGTTGCTACATGTTCTGCTGCTCAGCACGGCAGTTTTGTCTGAACTCATGGAATGTACATTGATTTCAGCCCGTGGCTCTGCATAATAAGATTTAGCTTGTTTATCGTGGACAGTGTCCAGAGCCAGGCAGGACGACGTCTTTGTCTTGTTGTCCATCCTTGGTTGTCACTTATCTCTTCTCTGCAGGCCTCTGCTTAAACCAATAAAATGATGATGATCACTGTGCAATCAAATACTGATATGTTTTTTACTGACCTGTGTATGAGGAGAAATGCAGAAAACCATTGAGGAATAATATTAGTGTGCATTTCGAAAACATACATTTTAAACATTTAACGATAAAATACAAATGGCATAATCACCTGCAGGTCTCGACTTGCATTCCTTATGATGGCAGGTTGTGCAGACTGTGCATTAAATCTAGCTATAAAAATCCCATTACACTTTCAGATAAAAAACCATAATATAGAGACTGTCGTTTACTTTAGACCTGGTGGGATCTGCTTTCATACTGTATGTAGTGTTTTTGCTTCTTAACTCAGAAGAAGGAGTTTACAGAATATAAACTGTATGAAATTTCAGTCTGGCTTTCTCTCAGCTTTAACTTTTGCCAAAACAATTTCTGTTTCCCTAAACCGAGATAGGAACAGAAATTCTAAGACAGATGTCATGAACAAAAAACTATTTTGAATTTAGAGCAAATCAAAATTAACCAAACCAAAATGGAAACCTAGGAGGAGATTTTGAATGGCTGTTCTCTGCCTTTACCAATGAGCAGACTGTACATTTATGGAGTTCATAGCAGGAGTGAGCAGGAGTGCCTTCACACTGAGTTTAAATGGTTCACTCGACAGATAGTAATGAGTTATAGCATCAGACATAGTCCTGACTGTCAAGATCAGTTATTACCTGAGCACCCGCAGAGAGCGGTGATAACTTTAAATCAGAAGATACCAAAGTGTTTTTTATGTGACTTTGACATCAGTCAACTACAGAGCCGATGTTGACAGCTGGATATTTACTCGTCTTCACAATGTTGAGCTAATTTTTTTTATCATAAGTACTGGAGTCTTTTTGAATCGTGAGCACTCACCTGACCCACATCAACTCCCATATTGTCTTTGTCTGTTAGTGAAATTCAGCAGACCACATTGCACATCGCCTCAGTTGGATTTCTCCAATCTTGACTCTTCTTTTTAGTAATATTTTTTTATTGCCATATTTGGATCTTGGATAGAGATAGTCTTGTGCTGCTTGAGTTTTTCTTCCCTCCATCTGAAGGTCGTGTGTTCCTGAAGTGATATTCAGCTGATCTCTGTTGAGTCCACAGCAGTGTGTGGCCAACATGAACAGTGTGTCTCCTTTCAGTTTTTACCATGTTTTGAAAAATCTTGTTCCCCATGCCAGCATCATGCATTAATGCTCCAGTGTCCTTTTTGCCCGTGTGCATGGATGGACGATAGTGGACATAAGGAATGGCCAGCAGGTGATCCAATTAAGATGATCCCATGCTGAGAGGGGTTTCTGCTGAGAAGTGTTTTCCTTTGTCTTTCTTAGACCTAGGAGTCTAAATATAGTGTTTACTACAGAGTGTGCAGGTCAAAATGCTTTAAAAGAGTCCTTTAGATTTGTATTTCAACAGAAATAAATTACAAAACTCTCTGAGCAATATACAGTAGGAACAAAGTTAAAAGAAAGTGTGGCATTTTACTCATTTTTATCCACATTTTAACTTCCAATTAGGAAATGTGAATTTTCTTATAAGTGACTTTTGTAAATATTAATGTATCACTGAAATATAAACAAATGTCAGGCTGCATTAATACACACACACACTAATGTATATATTCAATACCAACAGCACAAAGGAGTTCAACGGAATTCCTTTGTGATTGCAGCTTTTAAGATTCTCACACCATGCGTTACATCAGCACACAGTAAAAAGCCTGTGTGAATATGACCTATTATGTAAAGTATTAAACACTTCACTAGTTCAGGGTTGAATCCCATGGGATTTTATTGAGTTTAAGGCAGGTGTTACCATGGTGACCATGGAAAAATAAGGGCACAGTGACAAAACATCTTTTGTTTAGGTGTAATGGTTCTCAACCTTATAATCAATGCTTCTTTTAAAAACCTGGATGTAATTGAAGGTAACACATTATTCTACCACCCAGGGCCAAAGCTGTTGGACACCACCCACACTGCTCTATTATATTTACAGGATGCTAGATGTCATGTGTTGGACGCTAAAATAAGCCAGACCTGTTATTTGACTGTAGGAGTGTCACTTATCACAAAGTAACCGAAAAAGGCTTTAATTCTACGTTCCCCAAAGAGACACCATGACTGTTATTTGTCAGAGAATCTGTAATACATCATAGTCAGGAATTAAGGTTCATTCAATCACATTTTGACCGTCATTAACTGGAAGATACCTGGCTTTGTCACGTGACTACTTTCTTTTCTGCTTCATCTTAAGGCTCCTAACTTCTCACAGCTGTTACACCACCCATCATCATGTCTGTCTATTATACATCCATCATTTCCATTTCCCTAGAGCAGTGGTTTTCAAACTGTGGTACGTGTACCACCATGGTTCGCAAGCACTCTCTAATTCATATTTTCACATTTACATTTTCAATTGAATAAAGGTGAAACATCTCTCCTGTGGTGGAAGCTAACAGGGAAGGCCTGTGCTGCTATATTCTAATGTTGGTCATCATGGTGGTACTCAGAGAGCGCAATGTTTTCTCAGGTGGTACAGAGTATAAAACGTTTGAGAATCACTGCCCTAGAGTCTTCTTCTTTATTTCTGTTTTAATCTTCAAGATATTTTGTACAATATTTTAAGATAGGAAAAAAGAACTTAATAATCCTGGCACACAGAAATGTCCTTGTTACAGCAAATGTTCAAACCATGTCCACCAACTGTAGCAGTGTAGTATTTCATCTTAATTTTCTCCTTCAACATGCGGTCAAACCTGCATCTCTTCCTGTATGACAAATGATCTTTATTTCTGGTCAATAATTATATTCTGCTGCTGCTAATACATTACACTTTATTGGATAAAAGCAACTAAATGTCATGCATATCATAACGTTGTATTTTTCTCTGGTTTGTGGTTCAGGAGACTTATGAGAAGTTTCCCAAATTGAGCCAGATAGAGACGTGGGATGAGATCGGCAGTGGAAAATCCGAGGGCAGCTCCATAGGCTGCGATGATGAGGATGGCTGTCCGGCCTCAGGAGACGGTCAGGAAAGTTGTAAGTGTCCTTCATATGAAGCCCCTTAGTCATTTTATCATTAAGTCAACACCGATCTTCGACCTGATTTACTGTATAGTTGTGATGGGTTCTTCTCATTATGTTATGCCTGTGCTTTGATGATTTAGTGCAGTGTAACCAAGGACAACTCTGCCTGGGAAATGTTTTCTGAGGACACACAAAGTCACTCTTTGGTTTGCCTCCTTCATGGCAAAAAAAAAAAAAAAAGAAGAAGTTAAAAACACAGTTCACCCTCAAACACTTCACAGCCTTGAACAACTGTACTACCTTGAGGCTAGTTCAGTTTATATTTGCTACAGTTTATTACATACACACACACAAGTGAGAAGATGTCGGGGCTTGTTTTCCTCTGATGTACTGTAAGAGTTTCATGTTAATTATTTATAATAATGAAGGGTGGCTGCCATTAATCTTTATTTCTACAGAGGCAAAAGACAAAAACCTGCAGTTTTGAAAAATTAACACAGTATCGGGGGCTTTAAAACAATTTATTTTTATTTAGTAAGGGCTTAGGCTCTATTAACAACCATTATAGCAAAGTAAAACTGCAAAGTGAAAAGAAGGTCCTTAATAGGACAAAGTCAGTGTTTTTGGCTTTATTATTTTACCATAGAAGATGATTCATGAGTGTTGGAATTCTATGGGAATGACATAAGTCAAGTCAAGTAAATTGTGTCATAGCTCACAGTTTTTATTCTCATTGAACCTAGAAATGTTTGAGGGTCAAAGTGTCTCCCGACAAAACAGAACCAACCATTATTTCATACTGGGGCACAGTTCCATTAGAACTCAGCAGCTCCTCCCCTCTGATGCTTTTAAAGTCATTACTTTGTCCAAAATGTCTCAGTAAACAGAGGTTGGGGTCATTTATTAGAATAGCTCCTAATGACATCAGTACTGAAGGGTCCAGCTTAATCAGATTTGTTAAAGCCCCTGAAAACTCCACGGGGATCCGAGCTAGTAGAGGAAATCTGGCCACAGCTGCTAATTGGGACATGAGAGTTGACCTCATAAAAACAGCTGGGTTCCCAGAGGAGATTACCACCTTAACTATCACACCAGATATAGTTTTATTATGTAGAGCAAAGAAAGAGCAATGCTCATTGAGCAAATTCTGCAGTGGGCAGAGAGGTTGTAGGTACTGTAGAGCCATTGAGTGGGGACTCAAGTAACTGAGCTGTCAAAGAGTTGTTGTTTTTTAAAATGATCCTAATGGATTCAGTCTTAAGCGATGCATTTGCTGTTGTTGTCAAAGAGAGCACTTTTTTATTTTTTTTATTTTCTGAAATTTTACTACGACCTCAGATCTGTCCATCACACAGTTTAAAGAAACATGATTTCTGACCTCAGCCTTTTTATGCCAGCTTGAAATGGTACATGTTGATGGGTGGCTTTTTTTGTTGCGAACGCTACACAGTGACAACTGAGCCTAAAAGCCTCCTTTGCACTGTTTTAGTGCTGACATACTACAGTGAAAAGGCAGAATGTCATTGGAGGATTAGAAATCTTTACTAATTGACTGCCATTGTTGACGACTTCTTTAACTCCACGTCCCTCAGTGGTCAGTTACTTGCCTTGTAACCTATGTTCTACTGCAGTGTATTGCAGCGACTGTTGTCCCCACACAAATCCATTTAACAAATGAAGAGAATTGCTGTCCTCTCTTTTAGCCTCAGTGCACCAAAACAGTGTCTGTAGCCGTCAACCCTGTTAAAACCAACATCCTTCCTTGTGCCAGCTTGCCGGAGCCAGAGTTGAAAAAGTCAAGTTCCGTGCACAGTCTAAAATTTGCTCTCCACTTCTACAGTCTGATTGCATGATGTCACGCATGTTTGATCTCCGTTAAGATCCTGCTTCAGTCGCCCGGAGACATGCTAGTGTACTTTGTGTGCGAGCTAAACAAGGCCTGCGTGTACAAAGCCGTGACCACAGCCGTGAACGGGAGAATTATTCAGTGAATCTTTAATGAACCGTATCATCTTTCTTTCCCTCTGGCTGTGAAAGCCCTTTTTGAGGTTAATTCTGTGGTGTGACTATTGCTTATTACTTTATTAGTCCAGGAACACTGACTGTATGACTAAGCTTTTCATTTCTAGCTAACCTATTAATCGCTGAAAGGCCTGCGGTGGCACATTAGGGCTGCTGTATCTGCATTAAATGGGGAGAACAGTCTCCAAATGACAGTGTGATGGTCCCACCTTCATCAGTCCAACAAACTTATCTCAACTCCAAACCAGTAATACGCAGTTCTGGTCTGAATAAAATGGACTGAATAATGGAGAAGATGCTGTTTTCTTCTTCTTGTTGTTGTTGCATTGTTTTCTTTCATATGTTAATGCAGTCGAAGGACATTAACGGGAAAACAATCTACTGCTTTGTATTGGACTGCAACACAGTTTGAATTTTTTTTTTGTGCCGCTGTTTGTCGTCTGCCTCAGAAAAGGTGTGGGAATCTATTAAATCAACAACAACAAAAATACCAGAAGAAAGCCAAATATGCTTCTGTGAGGACAAGAAGTAAATGCATGGATAAACACTTCCTGTGATTGAGCCAGAGGGATATGCAGTGAAAAAAAAGTGTGAATCATACAGCCATGAAAGTACAATTCTCTTTTGGTAACAAACACCATCTGTCAGGAACACTGGTGAGCTCATCAAGGAAGTAAAGACGCTCCGGCATTACTCTCACGCACTGCAGTCGACTTGCTAAAGCTGTCTCTTTGCATGGAGCCAGTGGCAATGTTTGTTTTGCTTTGCCATCGTGTTAAAGAACATAATTATCTGAATCTGACAAGATGGGAGGATTTATGAGGGAATCAGTTATTCTCTTATTCCAGGGGAGAGGGACAACTTTGGAACTTTCTCTCATTTGCTATGAGGAGCAACCAGCTGCCTGGCTCACTGGCTGCGTGTCTTCTGTGTATGTGTGTATGTGAGTGTGTGTGTGTGTGCACTTTATAAACTTCACCCTGAGGAGGATAAATTTGAACAGTGTTTTAAATCCACAGCTGCTACTTTGGTGGACTGTTTTCTACAGTTTCCAATTTCTCTTTTTATTGAAATATACACAAAAACCCAGAGTATGTTCGGCAGTGAAACATCTCTGAATATGAAACTGGTGGTGATGGTGTTAAGGTCGACCACATTTCCCCCCATGACGTATATCAAGATGCCCAATAACAAAAACAAAGGACGACAAAATGAAATTTGTTCTTCTCGTCAAAGTTTAATGTTTATTGGATTCGTGGTCAAACCTGCGCAATTGTAACGTAACTAATTGGACATCAAGAATGTAATAAATGTGTGTGAAACTGCCTGGATACAGAAGTATGCTTCAACACACGATTATTTTAATTGTAATTGTCTGAAATCTGAAAGCTTTATCCTCTGACTCAACTGCACTCTTTCTCCCTCACTCTCTCCCTCTCTCTCCCACTAACAGGTTCTCTCTTGCGTAGAGCATAAAGTTAAGGCATCGTTAAACACTTGTTCCACTTTAACTGTAGCACTGTTATCAGGCTAATTTAAATTCAACCGCAAGAGATTATTGTACCTGAACATTGATTGGCTCTTAAAAACTCCCATTAACAACAAAAATCAGCACCTGAAATACTGCAACTATGCATTTTACTCATGGCTCACTTTTTTTCCACCTTCTCAACACTTTCACTCAACACTTTATCAAGGCTGCTGCAAACTGTGGATATAATGCGATGAAGGCTTCGAGGGAATAGAATCATGGATTTGAGGGTTTTTTTTTAGCTTTTATGGATTTATGAGTTATTTTAGTCGACGTGATGCATTTGTAGATCTAGATATTTTATATTGACGTATGTTTTTTGCACTGCTATGCAGAGGAATGTCGTTTCAAAACAACACTGTAAAAGAAAAAAATAAGATTTCTATCAAATTACAATACATGAACACGTCTGCTGTTTATATCATCTGGCCAAAGTCTGTGGAGCTACCTGTGACTCCCAAAAAAAAATTCACTAAATCAATCTTGTGAGGCCAGAACTGCCTTTTTTGGCTAGCACTCAGTATCCAGTGACCTCTCACAGTCAGAGACAGAGTTAAGAGGGCATGGAAGTACAGCTAATGTGAACATAATGTGTTTTGAGCTGAGGTTTAGAAAGGATGACGGCCACGTCCAAACGTATGACTCAGTCTCTCGTGACAAGGTAGATAGGAGTTTGCTGCTTCCAAGCTCTGTTAAAATAAAAGAGATCCAACTCTCAATCTTTCCATCTCACATCTTGGATTGAGCTCAGACTCTGTGGGACTGGCATGTTCAGAAGGTGGCTGGACAGCAGATGTCCTACCGCGGATATTACCAGTAGGACTGTCATTTCCCGTAGCCTTTCATGTGGAGCTCAAAGGGTTGATTGAGAGCTCCGCAGGGCAGAACAGGGCTGAGGACGGAGGGACAGGAGGATCAGATGGCTTTGGTGGGGCAGGGGGAAGGTCTGGTCTGCGTATGGAATAAAAAAAAGTCTCTTTGAGACACTGTGCGAGTGTAGTATTATATGGTTTAATACCAGGGCTGTCTGGATTACAGTGGTAATCTAGTTTATATATGAATCAGATTAGAATTTTTAACACATTGTAATAATCAGCAGAATGACTGGTGTTTGACAAGCCACCATCACAATGCACAATAATCCTAAAATCCACCAGCTTTTTTTTTCCCACGAGTTCTACCTTTGTAGAATCCCATCATTTGGATTATACCTAAATCATGGTGTCAAACCCTCACCTCTACCTGCTGTTATTGGTCCTCCTGTTCCAGAAAGTGCTCCTTTCCAATAAACAGATATTCTTTTGGTCACTGCAGTGTTAATTTATCTCTATTATTCATGATCAGTTGTGATTCATTAAAGTAAAAAATAATCAGATGAAACATTTTTATCATCCAAAAGCTTTATGTAATGCAGGTTTGGAAAATGTGTTTGTTAAGATATATTTCTTTTTTATCAGAA